CCTCAATAAATAATAGAAACAAAATTCTAAGTTTAACATTTATTGGTTCAAAACTATTATATATTTGTTTACACAAAAAAGAAGAAAAGCATGCGCATGCAAGAAGAAGAAAAACTGAATGACATATGTGAACTATAAAAGAATGATAAAGAACAAAAAAATTTACGCTATGGAATGTTTCAATAGTAAAATTCTGATATCTAGCAAGGAATTTTCATCAAGAAAAAAGTACTTGACATTGAATAAGTCGAAATGTTCATTTTTGATGAATATGAAACGAAATATGATTGATTATTTATAAAGTAATCATTTATCATTGATAAATACGCTAAAACGAAAAGAAAAACAATTACGATGAATAACTTTCTTTACTTTTTGTTTTACTTGAAAATTATTATTTAATGTTCGTAATTGTGAAAAATTAGATAATGAAAAATTTTGATTTATTTCATTTTGTGCTAATAATTTTTCTAATTGATCAAGATAAATTCTAACAACACGTTTTATTGAATTTACACGATCAAATAATAATTTTAAATCATTTGTTTGACGTATTTGATCATTTGATAAAATAGATATTGAATGATCATTAATCTTAATTAAACGTTGATTAAGAATTTCAAGATCATCATGAATACGAATAAAACGATGAAGTTTTGTTCGATTTATATTTTGATTTATTTCATTATTGTCAATCGGTTCTAATGAATGTGTTAAAGTTTCAAGATGATCTAATTGAGAACTTATTTCTAACATTTCATGTTTTACATCTGCGGTTGTCTATTTAAAAAGTAAAGAAAAATATCATTCGAAAGGACAATGTAATTGAACAAATACTTTTAATTCTCGGGGTTGCCGATTTGATTTAGTTAATAAATAATGAAATTTATCTTTTATTGATTGAAGACGATGTTCAATAATTATCCATTCATTTGAATTATCATTAAATTGATTGGCTAAATCAATTGTTGATTTTAAAAGTAGTTCAAATTCATCTACAGAGAATAGTCTTTTTTGTAAATCATAAAACTTTTCGCTGTTTTTACCTAATCGTTCATTTACATCAGATCTGGAATAAATTGTTCGTGTTACTAAATGAGAAAATAGATGATTTTTTTTTGAAAAATTTTAATTATTATTTTACTAACATAAATGATCAGAATTCGAAAATTCTTGAACTGATTGTTCAAGATCTTCTAGTTGTCGTTTAAAATGTTTCCATTGCTGACGATTTTGATTTAATTGATCATCTTTGTCATTAGCTAAACTTTGTAAATGAGTCCATTTATTCATAATATCTATTCGAAAGAAACATTGAAGAATTGATATGGTTCCTTTAATACACTCTTACCAAGTACAATTGGATCATTATTAAGATCTTGAATTAAATATGCACCTAATTCTTGTTTTATTTGAAGAATAAATTCACGTAATGCATCAATTTTTCTTCGAGTAGATGTTAATATTCGATTCTAAACAAAGAGTTTTCGTTTGTCTTTAATTATTTAAATAAATATTCTTACATAAGTAAAATCCGTAGGTAAACTATCAATTTGAACACCAATTGGTGTCAGTGAATGAAGACTTTCTTCTTTCGAGCGAAAATCTGCATTAATATGAAGAAGAATATCTTCAAAATCAGCTAAAAGTTTATCTGCACGTTGGCGACAATCATCCAATTCAATTTTATCATATGAACACAGAAAACGATCTCGACAACGAACGTAACGATTTGGAGATCGAGATCCTAATGTTTCAAAATTATTATTTAGAAAAAAAAAACAAAACAAAATTTCTTGTGACATACTTGGTGGTGATGGAGAAGCTAAACGTTTACGTGTTGGTGATGTAGAAATACGAACTGGAGAAACATGCGTTGAACTCATTAAGTCCAAATGATGCTAGAAATAAAAAAAAAGTTTCATAAGAGAAAATAATTTCACTGATGGTGACTGCAATTGCAACATTCACAGAAATGAGTGATTTATAGAGAAACTATTCGAACTTGTTGTATTGGAATTTATCAATTCATAACGGATGATTTATTTGAATTGTACCAAAAGAAAGACATACTAGTTGGGAAGTGTTATAAAGAGAAATCTCCAAAAAAAAAATTAATTAAGCCCAGAAACTGTTGTTCATAAGGAGTAAAATTTCACTCAGATTAATCCTTCACAACCATACGTCGATGAGTCATGGCGAAAAAGAACAACCGTTTAGAGTAAACATTTATAGCAATCATAAACGAAGCTTTATAACCACCGTAAACAACTATAGTAACAGTATGGTAATTGCTAATGACGTTTAGAAAATATGTTGAGATGCCCCAAACGTCAATAGAAAAAGGTTTAATCAATCATCAATACTTTCTATCGAAAGTATTCGTAAGCAGTCGTTTATGTCAACGATCTGCTCTTGTTAAATGGAATAAAATACAATCAGTTCATTGAACTCATGTTGTTGGCTATTAATGATTGATATATATCGCTTAGCATTGCATCTGGACAATATACTACAGCGATCAGATATATAAGCATAGTTACAAGCCGAACACAAATAGGCAAGGTCGTACATGTTAGTGTGTACTACAATGTCCGTTTTAATGACGACTGTTTTACAGCATCGATAGCATGGTAAGCTGCGTTTGTATTTCAACCGTATACTACATCTTAGGTACGATCATAGCAGTGTTTCTAACAAATAGTTACTTTACGGCTAGTATATAGCCGTTTACGATTGCTCTGGGTAGCTAAGGATAAATTTTTATGTTAAAATAAAACTTTTTGAAAATGAAAATAATGATTTTTTTCCAAGTTGGAAGAAAAAGACTGATGTAAGTCTTATGGAATACATATTAAACAACTAACTTTTACTCTTACATCACACGGATTCATTAAATTTTGCTTTAACTTTCTAATACGTTTTGTTAAATTTCTTAATTGTTGAAGAAATTTAGCTAATTCATTCATATTTATTGTTAAACCACGAGCATCAATAGTTTTAGTAAGTAAATAATTAGCACATTTTTGAACATATTCAATTTTTGCTTGTTTTTCTTGAATTTCACGATCCATATCCTTGGAAAAAAAAACAAAAAAAGGATTCGATAAGAACTTATTCGAAATAGAATATATAAAAAAATTTACATCTAATTGTTGAATTTTGTCACTGGTGGGTGCTTCAGATAAATGTTCAAGATTTGTTAACAATACGTCAAGATCTGTTAACCAAAGTACTAATGAATCTTGTGTTAATTGGAAATCACCATGAACACTTAACATATATTTTAGCTAGAAAAATAAAATTCTAATTAATAAAAAACAAAAACAAAAGAAATGCATTATTTATACATGTTTCAGTGTTTCGTGGGCTGTTTCGTTTAATTTTTCCCAACGATTATTAAGATCTTTTATTCGAATACGCATTTCATTATTGGAATCAGCTGTTGGATAGAAGCGAATAATTTCCGAATAACTATTTGCTAGCTGTTGAATTTCTTTATCATCATGATCCAATGTTCTTTTAAAATTCTAAAATGCACAAAACAAAATGAAAGAAAATGAAAAATGAAAGAAAAACAAACCTCAAGACTTTTATATTCATTACGAACACCTTGTAAACCATCACCACTTGCTCGTTTAACTTCAGTTAGAAAACGCTCATGATCACTAATCATTTTTGATATACGATTTATAGCCTCATCAATGTTTCGCCATGAACTATGAACATTATCCAATCTGAACATTAATATAATTAAATTTATCTATAATGATATACTAATAGAACTCACTCATATTTTCGTTTTATTATTAGTTCTTTTAATGATAACCAACATTGTTCTAATGTTTGAACTGTACGCGATAATGAATCGAGATTTCGTGAAGATATATCAGTTTCATTTAATAGATTACGACCAAGTGCAAGAAGATTACTAATCACAGTACTATGCTTTTCAATATCCGTTTCGATTTCCTGAAACTCAACAATAGTTATAGATCTCTTTTCAAAATGATTTCCTACAGCGATTGATTGTTGATGAATATGAAATTCATTCGTATTTTGTGTTGTTAATGGCCGTTGTAAATTTACTTCAACCGTATCCATCCATGAACGAATATTTTCAAAACCTTGTTCAAAATCATTGAACATTTTATAAGTAATTTCTGTTTTTTTAATTCTATTTTATATTAAAACAAAATAAAAAGAATTGATTCGAAATATAAATAAAATGAATCAAAATCAAACCTTTTCTCTACATGTTGTTCTGCTGTATCCATAATCTGTTCTAATTGTTCAATTTTTTGTTTAATTGTTTGTAATTGTGTTTGATCAGTTGATTGTGATTGTAAAAGACGTGCTTGAATTAATAATTCATTAACATATTTTCGTTTGTCTGTAATAATATTTCTAATATCATTTTTCAAAATTTCAAGACTTGTTTGAATTGTTAAACCATCTAATCGTTGATTTATTTCATTATTAATAAAATTTTCAAACCATTGAATAAATCGAAGAAATTTATTTTCAAAATCTTGATATTCTGAACGTCTTTTCGTAAGACTATCAATTAGTGCTGTTAAAGTACGTTCAGCATCAGTCCATTGAATTTCAAGTAAACTAAATTATAATGAAATTAAGTTCTTAGCACAATCCTTATGAGATTAAGGATTGAGATCCGATAAATTCTAGTTGTCCGAGGATATATGCGGTGCACTAGTCACCAAATACAAAAAAAAATAACTGGAAAAATTATTTTCTATCTTCGAGACGATTATCTTATTCCGATGAGAATATTTCATTGAAAGTGTTAAAGTACGGTTCGACCAGATCCAACGAGCTTCTCTCTTTACTTCAACATTCTTTCGAAATCGTATTTTACAAAAGTAACGTATAATCAGAAAGTTTTTAAACAAGATATTCGTTAACTTTTGACCTGCTATAGTGTATTTTCGAGGAATTAGGATTAGTATTTTATGCTTTTTCTAAAATATGAGCTTATAAATTTTGTCTCCTTTTTTTTTGAAAGTAATGAAGTAATCTTTGAAAAATTCAAAAAATTTTTCCCATCATGCTTTATTTTCCTATTGCAATTGGAAATTAAAAATTTAAGTCTTTATTTTATCACAGTTTGCAGAACAGAAACTATCCTAGAAAATTGCTATTTTTCTTTTTCATCAATACTCATTTTTTAAAAAAATGGACAACCATTTTATGCGGAAGAAAGTTCATGTCAAAAATAATTGAATAAAAGCTACAGCTTAGTACAATATCACATTTTGTATAGAAGTGTCCGCTCTAGAAAACGATCGATTTTGACAATTTTTTTGCATGTTCCAAAAGAAACTTATAGGAGAAATAAAAACTTGTTGGTTTACTTATAATTAAAAATAATTTTTCAGATCTTTCAAAACATCCATCACTTTACTTTTGAAAAAAAAAATTGGCACAATATTTCTAAGGTCATATATGAACAGAGTAAAAGATTTTGCTCCTAATTCATCCAAAATACTTTCTAGCGAGTTAAAAGTAAACAAACATTCCATCTAAAAACTTTTAGATTACTCATTAAAATTAATAAACAAAAAATTATTTCATTTAAAATTTACTTTAATTTTTGTATTAATTGACGTGTATCATCAGGATGTAGTTCAGAAGATATCTTTAAAAAATTGTTTGTCTCTTTTTTTATATATAAAATTGATTTTTTAAAAGTTAAATTACTTCTGTTATAGCTTGTCGTACACGTTGTAATTCAGTTCGATGCTGTGTAAGTTCACGATTTTTATTCTAAATAATAATTAAATTTATTTATTATTGAATATTTATGATAAAAATTTCACTTACTTGACATTGTACAAGAAATTGATCAAAATCATCAGTTGATTGTTGTTGAAGTGAACGAATTGATTTTATAATAGTACTTAATTCATCTAATGTTCGATCGAGTTCATTGTATCGAAGGAGTAACTAAATATTAAAAATAAATAAATAAATAAATTTGTTTTTTTTTTCATAAGATAGAAACGAAATTTCTTGATTCTACGAAGAATAAGAATAAGCAAATGAGCAAGACAAAATAAAAAAAGAATCATGCATTTTTATGAGAGGAGTAAAATCAATAAACATGCATAAATATTGATGCGTATCTAAATATATATATATTGAATATAAACTAAAATAAATGAGTAAAAATAATTTTGTATTGCCATTGAATATTTCTATTCATGCGAAATTTATCTACTACAGATTACCGTCTCCTTTCGAGAAGTTTTTCGATCCTATAATAACATAATTAATAATTTAGAGTATATCAATAATAATGAGCAACGTAAAAAAAACAAATATTGAAGTCAGTTTCATCAAATTTATACATATGAAAACAAAAATTCGTTCTATTGCCAAAATGCAAAAAAGAGCAAATGAATTGAAATACTATAATTAGTTCAAAGTATCAAAACGTATTATAAAGTTCAAGGATTGGCTTGTGATGTTGGGCGTCTAAGTTTGGTTCTAGCATTAAAATGTTTTATGTAGAAAATCACAGTGAAACCTCTCTAATGTCAGTACTATTGAGCCTGACAAAAAAATGCTCTCATAGATAGGTTTTACTGCAATAATTTGAACTTTACTATATTCTGATTAAAAGAAAACAAGATATTGATTTATCTGACATGTACGGAAAAAAAAGTATCGCTAAACAGTTGTTTCCTTTAATTATAAAAACTTTGGTCGATTTGATAAGTACTTATAGCATAAATGTACAAGCAAGATTTTTAAACGAAAAACAAAACAGATATCTAAAAACTGAGATGTAGAGTAGAAAGTATTGATGAGAAAATATATTCGACTGTCGGACGTCGTTCGACCTCATAGTATGATTACGAATGAATGTTGATGATCGAAAGAAAATTTTAAAAGGAATTCGAGTCCATGCTGTTATGAATAAGAAGTTATGATTGTTTTAATAAAATTTTTACTGCAAGAAATGCATTCCCAAACAAACTCAAAACAACTATTATCCGTTTTAAAATATAATGCGCTTCACTGTTTTTGAAATAAGTCAAGAATGGAAAGAGCTAAAGAGCTTCGATCTTTACCAATCGATAGAGAAGATATGGGGATGTCTTTTTCTTCCATATTTTATAAGATGAAATCTTTTTAAAATCAATAATTTCTGTAAACTATTGCAAAAAATATATGAAAACGGTCTGTCATTCCGATGAAATTTTGCTTTTGATATGTGATTTAGATAGAGACACTTCAGTTGTATAATTCAAGGTATAATTTGAATAATTATCTCGTCTTGTACAATATTGAAGAATAAAATGTTCCCGTATCTCTCCTCTATCGACTGGTGAAAACCGCAGCTCTTCAGATCTTTCGATTATTGAGTTATTGCAAAAACAGTAGAACGCATTATATTTTGAAACGGACAATAGTTTTGTTTTGAAAATATTGTCTATAAGCAAATTTGATATTCTTGAAAATTTCAACGCAAATAAATGTCTTTCTCAAGATATCTAATACGGCGCTTATGGCTAGTACATAGTTCATTTTAGTATGCACAGGGAGTTCAAGCAATGGAATGTTAGAACTCTACTTTGAATCAACCTTCTATTCAGAGTTATAGTTGCTATTAGTCGTAGGAAGCATATCGAAATATGGAATCTGCCATTAGGCAGTACTTCATATCGAAAGACAGTATTTTTTCTTTCTGTTTTTACAAAGAACTAGTTCTATTAAGAATATTATTTGTAAAAAATTTGCATTCAAAAGTCGATTATTTGAGAGCGAACGCAGTATTTTATTTGAAAAGTCACTAAAATTGCTATAAATCAAGAAGATAAGTTGTTAGTGCACGTTCTCTACACTTTATTCTATCTACTTTAGGACATATTTCTTCATCCTAATTTTACTTAATTCTTCAAAAATGTAATAAAGAATCAGTTCATATATAATAATGAGACATTATTCATATATAGTCTTTGATGTTTCCATGCTAATATCTATCATAGTGAGTGAGTAACGTCAGAGGGGTATAAATGTCTAATCTATATCTTTAACACTCTTCGCAGATCATATTTCACACAAGACATATGATCATGATTTCTGGTAGTTTCAATAGAACTTATCCAATACGATAGAAGCTATATCACAATCGATTTATTGCTTTACAAAATTCTTTTGTTAACTATAATATTCAAGTTCATTTTTTTCAAAAAGAATATTTTTATCTTTTTAAATTTATTTCATTATGTACTTTGACATTGTTTTACATAAACTATCAATGAAACATTTCGATAAATAAGAAAAACTGAAATTCTTACTGTCACAAGTGTTTCACGTTTTTGTTTAATATTAATATCAATATCATGAATAGCTTTATGTAAATCATTTAATTCTTTTTCTAAAATTGCTTGTGTTTTTGTATCTGCATGTTTAATTAAACGTCGATTTGTTTCATAAATTTTTTCTAATAAATTTTTTAATTCTTCATTTTGATTAATTGTTGTATATGAACCTTGTTTTATTTGACTAATTATATTAATAGTTGCTGTTTGTAATTCTTTTTGTTCTAATTCACATTTATTTTTTAATAAACGATAATAATCTAATAAATAAAGAAAAGACATGAATAAATAATTCTAATTAAAATACAATTCATACTTTCTAAATAATTTTGATATGATAACCAAAGTTTAATTAATTCTTTAACTTCTTTTTGTTTATTTAAAATAGTATTCATTATATTTTGCCAACGTTGTTCAACTTTAATAAATATATGTTGATTATCAATAATTTGTTTACCTTCATTAATTAATTCTTTTAATTCTTGTTGTCGTTGATTAAAATCATTAATTGTATTTGATAAATTTGTATCAATTTCAATTAAACCATGATAATTTGTATGAATATTTTCTTGTATAACAGATAAATTTTGTTCAATAGCTTGAATATAATCATTCCATTTTTGACAACGTTTATCAAAATTTAATTTATTATATTCATTTATTTCAATTTGTTTTAAACGTGTTTTTATTAAATCAATACAATATGTATATTCAATAAGAAGTTCATGTAAATGTTTAGCTCGTTTCATATATAAAATAAATTCATTTGAATTTAAACGTTCAATAAGATTACGTTTCGATTGTAGAAGATTATCAAGTTCATGAAGTTGTTTTAAATTAAAATTTTCATTTTCATCAGTAAGTTTTTGTGATTTAAGTATAGTTTGTGCTTGATTAATAGCTTGTGTAAGTTCATTTAAATAATCTAAATAAATTTTTTCACGATGTTTTAATTCATTACAATCAGTTAAAAGTTTATTTTGAAAATTTTGTAATTCTGAATATTGATTTTTAATAACAGAATATTGAGTATCAATCTTTTTAGCTGCTATAGGAGGTAAATAATTGCTTAATTTTTTTGCATATTCATTTATTTTAGTAACTTCTAAATAAAGTTGTTCAAGACGTTGTTGAAAATCCTAAATAGAAATAATTTTGTTTTTTTTTTCTTTAAGATTAAACTAAGAAATTTAATTTTCATATTATTTACTTTAGATTTATCGAAAAGTGAATCAATTTCAGATGTAAATTTTTCTCGTTGTATTGTATACCATCTTGCTTCAAGTTCTCCAAGTCGATCAAGTAAATGAACATAAGAATTATTAAATTGTCTCCAAATATCAACAACTTCTCGTGATGGTTTAATTATTTCTTGTAAACGTTGTTGAACATTGGTCCATCGTTGTTGAATACGAATTGTTATTTCATTAATTTTTGAAGATGTTTGTCCATCACATTGATCAGATAAATGACGATCATGAACTGTTATTTGATCGAAATTATGTCGATGTGATTCCATTGCTTGTAAATATTCCTAATGATATCGAATTTTTTAAGACTATACACTATTAAAGATAATAGTTTCAATCAAATTTTCTGATCAAGTTTTCAACATGAGATTTACTATTTTAAGCAATACTAATAGTTAGCATTAATAAATCATATTAATTTATGATGATTCTTAGTGTTAATTTATAATAGTGTTCTGATAAGAAATACTTTTCCATCAACATTAATTGCTATCATTAATCACTTACAAGTTCTGAAGGGAATAAGATTCGATAAATTCGAGTTTTTCAAACTGTCTGAGAGCTTTGATAAGAGTTTACCAACTACCTAAAAATTCACTTCTATACTTTTTCTGTTCCTTATTATCAGGTAACATCAGTGATGCGTTGCTCTGTCATCGACACTTCGTCGGTCTTAATATAGATACATAAAACCACATTTATTATGATGGGTTAGTTTTAAAAACTATCAAATTTTGACGAAGTTGAAAAAAAATTGTATGAGACATCAACCGTTACAGCTATATCAGCTAATATTATCTTAGAAGCTTAAATACAATTTAGAAACGTACGGAGATCTATTTCAATTATTTTGAGTAAAAGTATAAAATAAATCTTATACTAATAAATATAATATCATTTGTTTTCAAGTCTAAAAAACTCTTGTATAATTTCAACCGACTACCTTTTACCTTCATAAGATGTCTTATTTTTAGATTGTTTATAATCCCATAATAGAAACAAACTGAACAAAATGGTATTCAAGCTTGTCCATTTCCTATTTGTCAATGTCTGAACAGATATCTTTTATTAATGCTCATGGATACATATCTTTCAGTTTACAAAAGAAACTCATTTATTCTTAATCTATTTGTTGGTTTACATTGCTATATTGTGCTCGTTCGAATAGGGTGGATCTCTATTACATTTGGAAGATTATAAGCCTGAAACTGAGCATCTATTCTGTGAAAATTTGAATAAACTATTCTAATTTTTATTATTTATTAATAGTAAGAAAAACTTTGTAATCATGTTGTTTAATATCCTTTATTTTTTAGCCACCTAACTTAAGTTGTTAATACTAAATAGTACCTATTAATAATCTATCATCCTTAATGATTAGTAAAATACAATACATAATTTTTGTAAGCTTGATATTATTTTTTGTAATATTCTGTTTTAAGAAAGTTAAAGTCTTTTAAACAAAAAAAGAAAAATTATAAATCGTAGAATATTACTTGTGCTTTTCTTGTACTCATTTCATATGTTTCAACATTCATTGCACTAATTTCAATTCGATCAATTTCTGCTTCAGCTTCACGTAAAATTTTCTCCATTTGAAGTAAAACACGATTATATTCTTGCCAATCAGTTAAAATTGATTTCGATTTTAATTTTAATTGTTCAATGGATGGTGATAAATTATCAAGCATATGACGTAAATTTTGGATTGTACCATCTTGATCAGTAATTCGAAATGTTGATGATGATGATATCATACGACCATTATAAGATTTTAATGATGTAAGAATTTGTTGTTTTGATGTTAATTGAAATTCTATTTCCTAGAAAAATTCGAATCATATAAAATAAATTAAAACAATAGAAGAAAAAAAACAAAGAAAAGAATTTACATTGCATCTTCTTATATTATCTTTAGCACCGGCTTCTAAATTTCTCGTACGCATAAATTCAAGATCTGATGTTTGTTCGTGTACCCAATCAGATAATGTACGTACTGTTTGATCAAATTCATTAAATTGATCATTGAGTTGTTCTAATGTCTATTTGAATACAAAAGAATAATCTAAAAGACCTGATTTCTTGATATATTCTTACATCAATTCGAGCTGAAATCAATGATTTTATTTTAATCCAATCAATATTAATTTGTTTAATATTTTCCATATAATCAATACTTGTTAAATCTACATTAGCTTCTTTTTGAAATGATTCATTAAGAAAATCAATTGTACGTTGGTGATTGAGTACATCAACACGCATATCCTATTCAAAATAAACTTCTTTTATAAAAGAAAAACATTAAACTATGATAAATCTTCATAATATCCCAGATTAAATTTATCAAGTCGATAAGACTGTTTAAATAAACTGTCTTTTAGATTGTCCAAGCGAGTAACTTAGATGAAAAGACAAAGATTCGCTATTGAGATCGATTATTGGATATGTTAACATAGACGCATATGTGTAGGATCAAGATTTTAAATTTCATTTCTTCTAATTTTTAAAGAAGAGTCCTACGTGACAGTTTCTAATCTCGCAACAAATAGCTAAGTTGAGTTGTGGCTAATGCTTAGAAAATAGAAGCTCTTCACGAAAACTAAGCAAGTCAAAAAATAATTCATCGACTCTGGCACTTTGCGGAGCCAGCAACCTTTCACTCAGCTAGTCAAACGGGATTCGGAACACAAAGAAGTTTGTTCTACAAGACTACTTTAAAGTGCTTGATAGCGATAATGTATTCAATGATTTCGAGCTTTGCAGTCCTTTCTTAACGAGAACATAAAAGATCTAAATGGTTACAATAAAGATAAGATTCATTTTGTTTTAAGTTTACTCGATATCGTTTGATTAATTTTTGTAAAGTTTCTTTATTATTAATTTGTGCACCATGATCATCATCCAATAAACGTTTAATTGTATCAACAAATACAAACATTTCTTTACAAGCTTGTCTTGATGGTAAATTATTAATAATATTTTGATGAAGAATATTTTCATTTCGTAAAACTTCTGTCTAAAAAATTCAATAAAACCAAAAAAGTATTCATACCAATTTTTGAATCTTTCATCTTACTTTAAGAGATATCCATTTATGATGAAAGTTTTCTAAATTAGCTTCTATTGATTGTAAATCATAAAGATTATAAGTTGTTAAACGTTTTATTAATGTTATTGTATTTGAATAAATATCTGCAATATTTTCAAGACGTTTTTCCACATCCTAGAACGAACTTATTAGTACAAATGAAAAAAAAAACAAAGTTTCTCGAGAATACCATCATTTTTTCTAATTGAATTTTAAGTTCACTAACATTGCCATCATAACGCGTTTGGGATTCATTTGAACATTGTCCTAATGTATCTTCAAGAATAGCTAAATTACGTTTTATGTCATTTGCAAGTGTCGTTGCAACTTTATGACTAAACAATAAAATACAACATCAATAAGCTAGTATGATTGAAATAAATTTTACCTATCGAATTTTTCTCTAATATCACTTGCAATTCGATGGAAATTTTCTTTCACATGTTGAATATCATTTTTTAATGAAATTACATTTAATTCTCTACAAAGGGTTTGTATTTCATCATTTAAATGTAATAATTCTGGTTCAATTAATATTAAACGTTGTTTTAAATCCTAAAAAAATTTTCATCAAAAAGAAAACCTATTTTATTGAATAATATAAATTCAAACTTTATAAAGAATGAAAGTTGATTGTATTTGTTGAAATTGAATTAAACGTTTATTTAATGGTAATTGTTTTTCAATATCATTTAATTGATGAATTATATCATTAAGTCTTATTTGATATTCTTTCCATATACGTAAGAAATATTCAGAACGTATTGTTTGTTGTATCATTTTATCTTGTAAATCATTTGAACGTTTTTCTAAATCATGATGTTGTTTAAAATAACGTGTACGTGTTTCACGATCAAGTTTATCATATAAAATATTTAAACAACGTCGTTTTTCATCCATTTGTTCATTATAATTTTTTTGTTCAAGTAATTGACGTGCATATTCATCACTTGTAGATGGTAATGGTATTGAACGACTTAAACGTTCCATACATAAACTATATGCAGCTTCATATAATTTACATTCATTTAAATAAATATCACGACAACGTTGAGCTTCAATTAAAACTTCATGACGTTGTTCAAACTATAAAGAAAAACAAGAACAAAACAAATAGCAAGGTTTATGAAGAATTTCACAAAAAAAACAAATATAGACTTGTTGTTTTAAATAAGTTATCATCGATTGTAGAAGATGAATTTCTGAAGGTAATGGTAATGAATTTCCATCTTCAAAACATATAGTTTGTCCATGTTTTTTTAAATGTACTAATTCATCTTGACATTGATTTAATTCTTGATTTTGATTCTAGGAGAAAGAAAGAAAAACAAGAGTCTTAAATTTTTTCAAAATAGAAATCTAAAAAATTTCAATTTACTCGTATGAAATGAAGTTGTTCTTCAATTGTATCATATGTATTTCCTTTTCGTTGTTTTAATGTATTTAATTTATCTTGTAATAAACTTATTTCATCCATTAATAAATGCCATTCACGTTCATATTGACGTTTACGTCGTTCTCGTTGTTCATTTTTTGTTTCATGTTTAATCATTTGATCATCAAGAGATTTTAATGCATCTTCGACAGACTTAAATTTAACAATATATAATTTTTTTTTTATTATGATCTATTTGATAGATATATATGTGCTTACTCTGCCAGGTATTTGTACATCATGCTCTACTAGTGAAGAAAGTTTAGTTAGTGATTCTTGATATCTACGTTGTTTTTGTTGTAGTTCATCGACATCCTATTGATAAAGTGATTTTTTTCCATGCATTTATATAGTGAATTTATGTATGAACATTCGATAATGATTAGTGAGGCAAGAATACTGATGTCAATGCATTTTATTGAACGAAAAACTTAACTGACAATTTCTTTCATACGTAGGTTAGCTACAGTTTTATCAAACTATTGAATGGGACATACAGAAAATGATGCTTGCCCAACGCAACTGTGAGTGTGAGTTATCCTATGTTAACGAAGAAATTTTTCTAACGAATTAATTACTTTTAAGTCGAGCCCATTCTGCCCATATCTATTTAGAGAACACGTAATGATCAATGTAAAAAACACGCTTTTATCCATAACCGTATCTCAGAATAGGAACAAAGAAAAGTTAGGAATTTTTTCTATAAACTATTTTCATTAATATCTGTCTCTATGTAGGGGTGCAACAAATCTTGAGTAGATTTGGGATTTGTGACCAAATCCTTGAGATTTGGATTTGGGTATAAGGTTTCGATTTGGTTATTGGATTTGTATATTTTAAGATTTTGATTTGGCTTTAGGATTTGTAAAAACAATACAGCTGGTTTGAGATTTAACAATTCATATATACATTGTTATTCGTATATCGCATTTACTACAATGAAGTCATTATGGAATGGTCTTGGTGCAAGAATAAAAATTTATAAAGCGCTCAAAGCTTCCCACAGTGCAGAGATATTAGTACCACGTTAGTCATTATTTTAGACAGAAAAATGCCTTAGCATATGTTGAGCAAGATGATCAGTCTAGTCAAAGACCTTTTCAGGACATCATATATACGAGAGTTTTCGTAATTCGAGCCAGTGTTTAGGTTCATTTTGATAAGAAAAATGTCTCCACGTTAGTCTAGTGTTTAGAATCTTGAACCCATTAAACAGAATTTCATCTGCGTCTCTTTGTCAGATCTACAATGGACTCCAAAACTCAACTTCAACTTCGCCGGGATTCAGGTCGTTGTTCTTGAAAATTATAAAGGACTCCAAAAACTAGGTCGTGGGTGTGGCTGTTTACCTTCCCTTTAACCGTACCCACACACCCAACTCATAAATACGTATTTCCATGTTTGAATCATTTCTTTTGAAGTATGTTCTCATCCACATAATTTATAAGATAATTTGATTGGAGTCATAGAATTTTTACTAGAAAGACGACTTTCAATTAGTGATCTACAAAATCATATTTTTTGGTTCCAATCAAAATCAAAAGTTTGATTTTGATCTCAGTCTTGTCAGAACTGGGATTGGAACTGATATCAACCATTTCTAGTTATAATATATTCGGGATTTAATTCCGTTTCATTGACAAATGGAGAATAATTAATTAAATTTCTCTTTTTATCAACACTTTATTCGACAGTCATTTAGATAAACAAAAAATATTATAACATGGAGAAAACTATTTTAAGAACAGATATGAGAACTTGATTCGGTAGCTCATAAGATTATGACAACAAAAATATTATTTTGACTTTCTTTTCACTAATTAGCTTACAATTTTATTGAAATATTTGTCTGTTGGATAGAAATATTTTACATGGCTTTCTGAACCTCTTCACAAAGAAAAAGTGTTTATGAGGTGGATTAATCAAGTTGTTAATGAAAGGGAAAGATACCTTTGTCTTTTTTTGTATTATCAGATACCCCTATGACAGTAAAAATTTATTTATGATGTGAGAAAAATTCACTTGAAAATCGCCAGAGTAAAGGACATCATATAGTCTCGAATTCTGGTCTCATTCCGATTAAAATTTCTTTCGATTCCGGACCCGACTCCGATAAAATGTGAGTTTTTGATTTGGACCCCGGTCCTCAGCGTCATGAACGTGACCGGGACTGGATCCACACATCTCTACTCAAGTTACTTGAGAATCAAGTCAAGTCCAAACCCAAATCTTAGCCCAAATCCTATATACTAAATTCTAAGCATAAAATCCAAACCCAAATCTTCCATGCCAAATTCAAATCTATAATAAATCTAAACGATTTCATATCGAATTTCAAAGCTCTGTACTTATTTCACCCTTGTAGCTCTTTATCGTACAGCGCCAAGTTGGATTTGGGTAATTTTAGACCAAATACAAACCTAATCCAAGTCGAGATGAAAACCAAATCTTTGTATACCAAATCCCAAGGCTTTGAATTTGCTGCATCCCTATCTCTATGCAAAATTTCTAGTCGGAATTTAGAAATCAGTGTTTCTGAAGGGGAACCACCGCAGTAATTTACAGAAGAACCGTAAAAAATGCAATACTCTGTTAAGAGTTCGATCTCTCTTCAGAATATTCATTGCTCAGTATGATCTACATGATGCACATAATCCCAACTCAAAATCAATTAATCAGTAGATACACTTGTAAGACCAAAAAACCTTGTAATTCTTTCAATTAATGAAATTTTAGCCGTCGTCTTCCATTCTAAACGAACTTTCAGATGTTTTTGGTGATATATTAATGCCAATAATTTCAACTTATTCATAGTATCAGAGTCTAGTAACAGTTGGTTTCAAAAATCACTAGTAAGTCAACAACCGCATAATGCATCTACAATGACGAACGGTTTTTCTGCATAATCATAAGTGTAGCGAATTCCAAGTTTTCGAATCTGGTAGAGCAGTTTTATTATGTGCGTAGGCGTGAGAATTTTTTCTGAAAGGTCAGTTCTTTTAAGAAGAACTAAGCCAAAATATCGGTTCCTTCAAAGAAATTGATCTCATCGAGCAGTTTATTTCGACTCGAAATGTACACAGTCTATTCATTATAGTGAGGAAGTACACGAAATATCTCCTCGACAAAAATGATGATCAATCTTCTGATGTTAATTGCGATCTCATGAAATTTTGAATCAAATTTTCATTTAAAGTTTTTTAAACTGATTAAAACTTCACTTCAATATCGATATTGTCTATTTTAAAACTTTGAAAAAATAAGTCATACGTGATTATCTTTTAAGCACTACAATTAAATTTTTGTATAAAAGAAATCAAATATTTGTACTCATGCATAATTTAACATTCTCATGCATTATCTTACTCGAATTGATTTTTTAATAAATTTATTTCTTGTTTCAAGTTCATTCGCTGATTCGCTAAGACGTTCTTTCAAATGATCAATTTCTTGACGTAATTTTTGTAAAGAATCACTTGGTAATTTAGAACTAAAAAACAAAAACAAGCAGAACATCGATGAATATTAATCTTTGATTGATCGAACTTATTAATATTTCGTAAGAGTGCATCAATATCTTTTGATTTCTCATTAATTTGTTGTTGTTTTTCATTTAATCGTGTATATTCTCGTTGAAGAGATTCTGCATCACGTTTATCATTTAATGGCTCATAACGATGAGTTTGTTTAATCCATTCGAATAATACTTCAATACGTTCACGAAAATCTTTTTGTTGTCGATTTTGTTGTTCATATTCCTTTTTAAAAAGAAAAATTACCAATAAAATACAACTACCAGTTTTTTCGATGATTTTTTTCACTACTAAAAATGAATATGTGTAGACTTCTAGAGAACGACTTTCGCTGTCTATTCGTGTATATACTGTCATGTTATGCTGCGTACATCATTAGGTAGAGGAATTTTTTCTTTGCAAGCCTTTACTTATATATATATATATTCTGTTATGTAGTTAAAAACTTATAATCGTCTTTTATATTAATCATAATTTATTTTTACTTCTTGTTTTCGAGTAACATTGGTTTTGATTCTATCAATATTTCCAATTAATTTTGGAATAGATTTAATTATTAATTGATCTATTTGTGGATAATCATGTGTAAGATTATTAAGAATTTGTTTTCGTTTATCTAATTCAATTTGTATATCATGTAAACGTTGTAATTTTTCATCGATTGTTAATTTTTCTTCAAAAATTGTTTCAACTGTTCGTTGAATATTATTTATCCATTGTTCATAAAAAAGATATTGTTTATTAAATTCATTTAATTGAAAATGAATTTTATGACTTAAATCAAGACATTGTTCAAGTTTTTCACGATGTGTTATTAAATCTTTGAGAAGTCGATCCATTTCAGTTAACTAAAAGTAGAATTGATCAGTATGAAAGTGAATAATTGGAAAATTTTATATAGTTCGCTATATGCAGCGTAATACAATACGATTCACAAAAGAAATCTTCTAATTGATTAATCGCTTTTCAGTCGAGATTATATGCACTATATAGATTCTAATAAGCGATAAATATTCAGAAATGAGTTCAGATCTTTAGTTCATTGCTACAGGGATATTATATTTTTTACAGTATTTTTTTAATTAATATCTCAATCCATCTCAAAAATACCGGAAAAACTTATTTTTCAATTGTTACTTGAAACTTTGCATAGAGACAGAATTTAACGAGAAAATTTTATGGTGACAGTACTAGATTTTTTCACTGTTCCCATCCTGAAACATGTTTATAATAAAAATGTACCTTTTACATCAGTTATATCTATCAATAGACTCGATATTTTTATTTCTGAATAGGAGCGAATCAAAGGATCTGAAAATTTCACAATAAAATATTCCTATCAAGCCCTGTCTCTGTACAGTGTTCGAAGTCGAAATTCGAAAATGAGTTTTCCTAGTAGTCCTAAGAAAGATCATGGCATAAACTTGAAAAATACTATAAAAACGCAATATCTTGACACTAATTTTAGAGTTCATGAGAGTGTACAATATGTGCATAATCTTGGCTTAAAAGCAATTAATCGATTAGAAGACTTCTCTCGTAAGTAATATAATTTTATTACCGAAATGTAGAAAAATTGAATTTGTTAAGAGTTTTAACATCAAAAGCGCTAGTATAAAGAAAAAATCAAAATATTAAACTTAATGAATGATTGTTGATCGGATTTTTGATAGCTCGACTCAATTATATAGTGGGATATACATGACTGATCGTCGTATTCGAACAAGTTGATGAGAACACTGTATATCTTTTTTCTCTTCGGAGTAAACGTGTTGAAGTGCACATTCATCTAAAACACATTTGGATATGCTGAGAATCTGTCAGGAAAAACTATACATGAACTTTCAGAAGTATATGCTCACTTAAGCATCCCCTTTCTCAGACTATCGACTCTTAATTTCTATATTTAATTATTTTCATTTGAAGGAGCATATGCTCTAAAAGTCTCTAAAAATAAGCATACACTTACAGGTCTGTCTTCATATATAATTAGAACTTGGCTATAATGAAGTTTCTTCAAGAATTCAGGACTAGGCAGTCAAAAACCGAGGTTCAGAGAGAAAACGAAAACTTTTTTTGAATGTGATGACATTTGCATATTTGTAACTTTCCTCGTTTCCTTCTAGGTAGTCAATGTCGTTTGACTCTCGAAAGAGCTAATTTCATAAGATAATTAGATTTTACAAAATTTCCGTATGAATTTTAGATAAATTCTAAAATTGCAGTACCTTCAATGTTGCTTCTGGTGTTCGATTAGTTTGAATCGTTCGATTAAGTCGATTTCTTAATCGTTCTAAATGTTCAAATATTGATTGATATTCTGTTAAAATATTTTTAGCTTTAGGAATTAGTTGATTAAAAATCTCAATAGTTGTTGTATTTGTTAATTCATTAATTAAATCTTTTGTTTGTCTTAACCAATGTTCACATATTGAATGAATATCTTTATATTGTTGAATAAGATGATTCATTTCTGTTATTTCTTCTTCTTCACTAAGTAAATTTTGTTCAAGGTCTGTCCATCGACGTGTTACTTCATTAAGACAACGTCTTATACGATCACGTTCATTTGAATCTGTTAATTGTGATGTTAATGTTGATGAAAGTAATTGTAAACGATCAAGTAGTGAGCGATGGGCTTGCATTTCAACTGTTAAATCCTAAAAATGAACAAATGATTAAAAAAAAATGTTTTTTTCCTTAAAACTCGTTTTTACTTTTAATGAATCTAAATTTAATTTTACATTTGCTTTCCGAGTTTTTGTTTCAATAATTTGAGAAATTTTTGAAATATTTTCAATACAATTTTCATATTCATTACGTAGAATATTATAATCATTCAATTCTGCTGTTTTTTCATTAAAACGAATTTTAATATCATCCATATCTTCATAAACTCGAATGATTATTTTATCTAAATCATCCGATAAATCTCCATAATCATTTTTATAATCATCTAATGATTGTTCGAAAAGATGAAAATTTTTTGTTAGATCTTCGTTGATTTTCTAAAACACAGAAAAAGAAAATCCCTCCCATGATATTTAAATCAAGTTAAAGAAAAGAATTAATTAATGCGAACTTCGAGTTTTTGATTTGCTTCGTTACTCATTGTTGGACGTAATTCTATTAATAATACTTTAGTACGTTGTATAATTGATAACATTGTTCGAGCATTTTGTCTTAGTTTTTCTTGTTCTTGAAGTTGATTATCAAGATTTTCAATTGTTTTTATGGCTTCATTTTTTAAACTAAAAACAAGAAAAAATTGATTTCAAGAAGAAGAGTTTTAAGATAATTATCTACCATTGAAGATCGTTTAAGGCATCTTCTTGTTTCTTTTCTAATGAACGAATTGTTTGTTGATCATATTTTTTATCAAGTAGTGTTAAAATAAGTTCTTTGACTTCAGATACATGTGAATTTTCTATATCCAGATCTTTCATGAAACTCTTCATTTCAACTGATCGTCGTACTAAATCAATACTTCCATATCCACTATCAATACTTTGATGTAATTCTTGTCGTTTTCTATTTATAAATGATTTTATTTTACTTAATATTCGTTCAATACGATCACGAACTGTTTCATTTTCCTATAAAGAAATTCTTCTTATTGTTTTTTTTCATTCTATCTTCAAGTAAAAAATTTACTTCGTGAGATTTTTTCGCTCTCTCAAGACTATCACGGACTGTTTCAACTGAACTAGCTATATCTTTTAATTCCCGATCAATATCAGTTGAACTTGATACATCTAAAGATTTTTTTAAATCACGTCCAAGATATTGTAAAGCAGAAAATGTTGAATCCATTTCAGACACAAGATTTTCGACAGTCTAAAAGAAATAGCAAAAGTCAACCATAAAAAAGATTATTTTTTTTGCCAATCGAAAATTTTATCTTACATCAGGTGACTTTTCAATCATATGTAAAAGATGATCGGCATCAGATTGTAAATGAACAATACTTGAATTAAATCGATTTGATTTTTGACGAATTTCATCAATTTCTTTACGACGTTGATGAATTCGAGTTTCTAAAAGAAATGTTTCTTTTTTTGTATTTATTTAATAAAATGAACAATATTTTTACCAAGTTCTTCGATTGTTTGTTGAAAATTTCGAAGTTGATTATCACATAAATCTCTAGCATTACTTCGTAAATATGATCGAAATGTTTCGACTATTTTGTGTGCTTCAACTAGACGATAATTTTGTTTAGCACAGACTTCTTCGAGAAACTGAAAATTGAAAAACAAATAGATATTATCAAAAAATTTAAAAGAATAGAAAAACTCTACATTTAATTCTTTTTCATGTTCATCAAGACGTTTACGATCATAACCATCAAAAAATGGTGCTAATCTAAAATCAGCATCACTAGAAAAATAACATAAACAAATGAATTGATTAATCAAGTAGAATTTCATCATACCATATAACTGTTTTCACTTCAGTAGTTAGTTTAATATATTGTGTAATACCTTGATGAACATCATCAAGTATAATACGTTTTTTATTAAGATGACTCTATGTAAGCGAATTTATAACTTAAAGTTTTGAAAATCGATCAATTACTTTAACTTGATGTTTAAGTTCTTCGACAGTATTTAATCGTTCTCGAATTTCTGTATCACTTGAACTAATAAGATTTGGTTCATCACGAAGAGCTTGTTCAATACGAACTAAACGTTGATCGATTGATATTGCAAGTTGCTGAAAAATTTTTCATATTTTAGCATTTTTCATATTTAAATATAACTTACATTCATTGAATCTTGAAGATCATTAACATTATTTAATGATATATTAAGTTCAAGAGGTTGACTTAAATCTTGTATTAGTCTTCTAAACCAATCATTAATTGCTATTAAATCTTCATTTAATTTATGTTGTGTTTTAATCATATGTTCATGTTCACCACGAGCTTGTTGACATGTTTTATTTAATGTTTGAAGACGTTCTTGACGACGTTCAATAATACGTTTTAATTGGTCATATTGTGAACGAGGAAGATCATTAATAAGACGTTCACTAAGTTGAATTAATTTATTTAATTCATGTTCAGCTTGTTGTAAACGATCAGAAACAGTCTTAAAATGAATAAAAATTAAAAAAATTCTTTATTTATTTATTTTTTTTAAATTGAAAACTAAGAAACAAAAAAAGAACACCTGAAAAATAATTCCTTTATCTTGATGATGTTGAGATGATTTTAATTGTTCTGATGATATTTGTAAATATGAATCAAGTTCTTTATCTAAATGATGAAAATCATTTTCAGTTTGTAAAGCTCTTTCAATTCGTTCAATTTCATTATGTATTTGTCCATCAAGATTTTTTAAATTTGCATTTAATTCACCACCAATACGAAAATCAATACGATGACCTTTATTTGTTAATAAACGTTGTATACGTGTTACTTCTTTAAAATGATTTGTTGTTTCATCAAGATATTTTAATAATTGTTTAAATTGTTCTAAACGTCGTTCATTTGATGGATAATTAATATCATTGAGTTTTTGTTGTTTTTGTTTTGTAAATTCATTTTCTAATTGTTTATAAAGTATTTGAAGATGATCATTTTGTTGATCGAATTCATTTCGTTCACCTTATGAAGAATAGAAACGAAAATTGTGGTTTTGGTTTTTGTTTTTATTAAGTTAACTTACGAATTGCTTCATCAAGTAAAGCAATACGTTGATTTAAACTATCTAATAAACGATTGTATTTATCTTTAAGTACGATATATTTTTCATTTAATGTTATTCGTTCAGCATCGTTTAATGTTGATGCAACAATACCATGAATACGTGTTAAATCTTCGAATTCATTCATACGATCTCTTGTTGATTGAAATAAAGACTAAATATACAAAATAGCTAGAAAAAAATATCTCGTATTTTCAGGACAACTTTTCAGTTCTGATTAGAAAATTTCAATGAGAGTATCAAAGCACAGTTCGATCTGATCTGTGTTCAACATCAAAAACTTTGAACTCGAGAGACTCTAATGTAGATTCAAATGAGCGATGAAAATCCTGAACATAATTCGTATCTTTAGCTGATTGCTATGGGGATACTATATTTTTACGATAGATTTCGAATCAATGCCATGATCCCCTGCAGGAACATCAGGAAAAATAATTTTCGAATTTTCACCTGAAACGTTGCATAGAGATAGGTCTTAATGAGATTAATTTATTGAAGAAATTCAAATCTTGTGATTTACTTCTATCTTGAAATAAGAATATCAAATATCTTACCTTTACACCAATAAGCTAAAGTTATGAACTCTTTTCAGGATACTCATAGATCATCAGAGTATATATAATTCACGTAGTCTCAACTCGAAAACAATATACTGGTTGAAAGAATTCTCTTGTTAGACAAAAGTTTTCCTTTTTTCGGATCTTATGCATCTGTTTAGTCGGATGTAAGCATTCATTTTAAGAATGACTTTAGCAGTGTATTGCATCACTATCGAATAAAGTGAAAAATGGGTCCGCTGTTATATGCAAGAGAAAGAAAAGTCATTTCGAGGCATACAAATCACAAAATCTTTAATAACTCCGAAAACGGACTATTTGTTATTGGAAATGTTTCAATTGTTATTTTAAGTACTACTGACTAGAAAGACACCGATATTCATGTTATTCTCTTAGTCAATCAGATTTTTTCATGACATTTCCCGAGTCAATTAAATCTTTTCGCGCTCACTAATAAGACGTCATTGAAGAAATCTGATTGGTCGAATAAAATAGGGTACAAAAGTTTAATTCACCCAACTGGCCTTTCGAAGGGTATTTCGACGCCTCGATTTTGCACTGTCGATGTCTCCTAAGATACCCATCGTCGAGCCCTCGACCCATCGGAAAATGGCAATCCGAGGGGTCGATTTGAAATTCCGATGGGTATAGCTCGTGTCTCCAAATTGTACCATCATAGCTGTTTCAAAGTTTCGATCTCGTGCTTCTGCTAACTATCAATGTACCTACCATCAGGCTCTGGACCCCTCGGATTGCCATTTTCCGATGGGTCGAGGGCTCGGCGCACTCCTCTCATGTTCTTTTTCGGCTCGCTTGGGCAGTATAATAGAAAGGATGTGAGTATTTTCTCCCTACCTTCACTCACATTCACCCTCTCGTTTGTCTGCGCGAGTGAGATAGGCATGAGTAGTCATATATAAATTAACAGAGATCTCAGTTCACTTACACAATCAGGAGTGAGTCACAAAGAGATCACGAAAAAATGAACTCGACCTGCACAGTGGAAATTTAGAGTTTATCTTTTTATCTCAATTCATCACAATAAGTAGCAATCATTTTATTAGTATTAGATTCTAACACTCGGTGTACGTATTGTAATTCCTTCACTGATTCAGCAAAAAATTTGATCTTCGCATTTTTATACTGGTTTACATCAATAATAAGCGTTAAAATGAATTAAATTATTGTGATTTATTATCTCTACTGAACACTCTCCCAGAAAGACTTCATAAAAAATATGCCAATCGACTTCCGTTTTTTATCTACTAAAATTTTCATATTTCAATTATATATTCATGTTTTTTTACTTGTACACTTTTAGATTTTTCTCTAAGAACATTAGTTGCTTGTTGAAGATCATTTGTAAATGGATCTTTAATTTGTTGTTCAGTACTTTTAATCGATTCATTAAGTTTATTCATAATTCGATCAAAATCACATCGTTGTTCATTAGCTAAATTTAAATGTCGATAACGATCATTAAGTGTTTCTTCTAAATTATTTATTTTACGAACTAATTCTATCAAAAACAAAAAAAAAAAGAAATTTATAAAAAAAAAAAAACAAAGAAAACTTTTTATTTTAATACAAACCATCTATATGAAGATCATAATCAGTTTTATCTTCATAATAATAACCTTGTTTGACATTTTCATTTAATTTAATCATATTATCAAGTATAATTCGTTGAGCTTTAATTTCATTTAATGCATCCTAATATATAAAAATCAATGAAAATTTTATAAGACACAAGAAAAAAGAACACAGCTTTTATTAGCATACACTATATTTCTTTAGTATTCGTTCAATTTCAGTTGTTTTTAATGGTATTGTTTGATCAGGAGAAACTAAACGTTGTTTATCTTCAAACCAAACAATAAAATGATCATATGTTTGATCTAATTCTTGACGTTGATGAATTAAAGAATTTAAACGTTCATTACGTTTTTCAATTTGTTCTTGTAATTGTTCTAATTCAACCTATCATAACAGTTTTATTATTATTTTAGAAACTCAATTAAAATAAAAATAATCTACTTGAATTTTATTCATCATTGTTTCTGCTTGTTGTTGTTCTTGATTAGTTAAATCCGATGAGAAAGTTTTATATTTAGTACGTAATGTATTTAGATGTGTATCTTCACCTTGAATCTCTCGATTGAGAGTCTAAATTTGTAAATTTTAGAAATAAAAATAATTGAATTTCTTTTTCGTTTATAATCGTCTGTTCTCAAATGATCACTCTTTGTCCATTTATCATGTGTACAATGTGCAGATAATGATTAGATATATATATATATAAGCATGTGATTAGTATAAATATATATGTATATTTATATAATTTTCAAAGCAAGCATAAGACCCATCTGACATTTTACATACTATTAATTACATAATATAATTTCATAATCGATGTTTTATTTTCTAAAATAAATTACAAAAAAGAAAGATACATATAAAATTATAAATCATGTGTATTTTCTGTTTTGAAGATTTTTTTTTCTTAATCTAATAAGCTTACATCAATTGTTATTGAAAATAAATTTGAATTTTGAATAATGAAGTTAAATAAATTATTTTATTTAAAATTATATTTCTTGCTAGTCTACAAAAACAATAGAGATAATTAAGTAGTGTAATCCTTGTGAGATTAAATTGTGAAACATGACATAGCTACACTTGCTAATCATAGATCAATTGCTTTAGTCTATCTATTTTAAAAAACATTTCTTCATTATATTTTTACGTTAGCCTTCAGATATATAATAAGGAAGTAGTTCAAATATTATAATCAGACATTATTGATATACGGTCTTTAATTGCTTGTCACGGTCTATGGGGAGATCCGAATCGTACTCTTGCACTTCAACAGTCCTTTTACATCATACTTCACAGAGCAACAGATATCAAATGATTTAATGCGATATCACGACCGTAGTCTTCGTTGTTTTCTTCTCGGTCTAATAAATTTCAGTTAGCAAAATTCTTCGGAAATTTTCAATCATTAAGCTTCAATCTTGTAAATAAATAGAGACTTTGTAAGATAGACAAATTCTACAAAGATATGAGAGTATATCTTTTGATTGCGATATCGAATTCGGACTTCCCATGTTTAAAAAAACTCGAAAATAAGTTTCTCTGATATGTCCATATATTAATAGTTTGATCGAATAGTTTATATAAATAAAGTATGTAAAACTTACTTCTATTGTTGCATGTAGTTTTGCCATTTACAATACTTTCAGTATTCCGATAGATTCATGGTATTGTTTTTAACATTTTACCAATATCAAATTTGTTTTGTTTTTTAAATTAAAATCATATTAACATGAATAATGAATATTCATGTCTGATTGTTAATAATTTGTATCAATTATTTAACTTTCAATATTATTATAAAGCCAAAGCTAAGAAAAAAGGCTGAACTGCAAGTATCAAGCAGAACACACACGAATTAGTTAGTAGAAGTACATATTCAGGAAGAAGTATCAAGCAATAAAACAAGAAATAGAAATGTATTCAACTTTCGTATATCTACACGTGCAAATAATACAAAGCGTTATGTACACATGCAAAGGACATAGAGCGTTCGAACAAAAGATTAAGATTTTTGTTTCTAAGTTAAAAATTGATATTTTAAAACGAAATAGTTTGTTCCTAGTTCTTTCTCAAAAGATGTGTAGATTAAATACCTTAATAATAGCTATTAAATGTTCGATATCACGTGATGAATAACCAACAAGACGAGCTGCACGAAGATTACTACTAAGTGCATTAATACGATGAAGTAAATTAGTATGAGCTTGACCAAAATCATCTAATAATCGTTCCAATTCTTGAGCTTGTACACGACGTTGAAACAACTATAAAAAAAAGGTTTGTTTCTTAAATCACATTTCTAAAAACTGTTTTTCGAAATATATGCTTCTGATTAATATACTCATTTTTTTGCGAATATAATCATGCTGATGGTAAAGCATACACTAAACGTATTTTTCATAACTATTACGACCTACATCTTTTTCAGATGAGATCATATATATATATATATATACAGGTGTTATACTGTTGCGAAGAGAATTTGTATCTTATGATATACATAGCAATAAACTATAATTACGATTGAAATCTCACAACTTCATTTACGTCTGTGATAAAAACCGAAAAAAAGTTAACAAATAGTTCGATACTTCTGACAAACGATCAAATATTATTATTCAAAATCTTAATCTGATTAGAAGAAAACAATTTGATATAGTTTTATGGTGTATAAATTTTCACAGATTTATCTATTGAAGTTATTTATAAATCTAGATTTTAGAAAAAGTTATGTTCTGTAGCATACTTTACTATCAATTGTATCGACAAGATTTTGAATTGTTCGATATTCGACAACAAAAAAAATATTTCTATTTGTTGAATCCATAAGAGTTGTATTACTTTCTTCCATTAAACGATCAAGAATATTACTTTCAGATTGAATAGCACGTAAATCATTAGTATAACATTCAATTTCACTTTTAAATAAATCAATTTGATTCATTTTCATTTGTTGTTTTTGTTGAATTTCATCATTAATTTTTTGTAATTTTTTTCGAATTTCTATTGAATATTTCATATGTTCTTCATAACGTTGTAATAAATCAAGACGTTTATGTAATATAGTTTCATAACTAAAATAATTTTATTCAATTGAAAAATAAATCAATATAAATTTTTGTTACATACGTATTTATTCGTTGTCGAAGAGTATCAAATGTATTTTGTATAGTTTGTAAATCTGTTTTTGAAAGACCCGAAAATTCAAAATCAATTAATTCTTGTCGTATAGTAGACATTATTGGTTGAATTGTTTCTAATTGTTTTTGAGTATGTTGTAATTGTTGAAATGTTTGATTCCATGTTGTTGTTTGAATTTGTCCATTGTGTTCAATTTGTTCAGTTATATCACGAACACTTCGTTCGAACATTTCAAAACGATTATGAAATGATTTACGAGATTCATATAAACGTTCAGTTTCACGAAGCTTAATAAAAAACGAAAATAACTTTATAAATAATATTATGATTTCAACCAAACTCTATCTAAGAGATTTTTTTCTTATTTGTTAAGAATATACTTCGGGTATATAAAAACCAAAAGCAGAAATCAGGAGTTCGTACTTTGTCTTGAATTTCGTATCAACCTTCACGAAACTATTTAGATTATCTTTCAATTTTCCTAAGAAAAGGAGCTTCGTCATTACAAAAGGAATAGAATTCATCATGAATAACTCTCGCTTGAATATAAAGTACAATGCACACTTTAGTGTAGAATCGGAATTTCCGAATTTCGCCAACTAGATATTCGCCAATGGTGAAAGTCCGAGGATGTATTGGCGAACGGTCCACCAGACTTTTGCCAATTGTCATAGAAGAATATCAATGTAGGATACATGTAAGGACTAAGGGTGTCAGACAATATCTTATTGCTTTGAGTTATCAATGTGGGTGGCCGATAGAGATGTTTGTAATCCACGGGTAAGCTGTCCTTTATTAGTGTCGGTGATGATTCGCTCCTATGTTGTTCTGAAATTAAGATGTTCTTCTAGTATAACTGGTCCGAGGCATCTGCCTAATAGCAGCAGATGGACTGTTTGAATTCTGAAAAGCATCATCTTTTTCTTCTTTCTTTTACATAATATATATAGGTACATGTATATGTTCTTTATATTACTGTTCATTTGACTTATATATGATGCTCACCCACTAATGAAAGTACAGTAGACATTCACCAAATGACAAGAGTTCAGAAATGTGCTGGCGAAAGTCCGGCGGATCCCCGCCAACTGGAAAAATTCCAGAGAGTGTATTGGTGAAATTTGGGTAAGCCGTAGAATCGAACATTTGCCTTATTCGTCAAAAACAACGATGAGCTGTATCAAGATTTAATCTAGCTTTATTTTTTAATTTTCTTGAGAATATGTTAATACACTATAGATGTAAACAAAACAAATAAGTCACGCGTCTTTGTAACGATTAGCTATTACAAGACAAGAGAAAATTAGGAAGAGAATACATATCAAAGACACTATGAACCAATGTAACCAACATTAAATCATAACCAAACTGGTCTTACTGGAATTTTATTATTATGATATTAGTTGAAAAATGATCAAATACTATAGAATGTCCTAAATAGTTCAATCTTTAATTCAATGATTTTATTTTTCAAAATTTCTCAAAACTTAATTCATAGAGTACAAGAAATAATTGATTATCAAATGAAGATGTACTTTTCTTTGTTTTTTCTTCGAAAATAGCTTTTCATTACTTTATCAGTTGTAAGTCGATTAATTTGATGCCATCGACTTTCAATTGACATTTGTTCTTCATGAAGAATTCGCTGACCTTCCGTTGAAGTATATTGTCTTAAATCAGTTAATTGTTTATGAAAACGATTATAATTTGATGTATGATTATGAATATTTTCATCCAATACCTTAGAAAAAAAGAGAAAGATTGTTAAAAAATACAAACCAGCAAACGAATTTTTTTTATTTTTCATCATACTCGAAGTTCATTAAGTAAAGTATTAATTCGTGTAAGATCAAATAATTTATTACTATCACTTGAAACTGTTGTATTAACTCGTTTTTCAAGTTCTTCTAATATTTGATCACGAAATGAATTTAATTCCGATTCAAATAATAACCATGATGAATATTGTTTATCATATCTTGGTGTTAATTCATCAGATTTTCGAATTATTTCAAGCCAACGTATTGATAATGATTTTATTAAAGATTTTAATTCATATTGATCTGTTATATTATGTTCTTCTTCTAATAAATTATTATAAATAGATAACATACGACGACGTTCTTCAAGAAAATCCTTTAAATAAGAAAATTTATAGAGAAAAAAAAATGAATTCGTTTTTTCATACTTTATGTTTATCATATAATTGTTTAGCTTCAGTTAAATTTAATGCTCCGCTTTGATCAAGACGTTTAGTAAGATAATATTCTGCTTGATCAATCCATGGTTGTAATTGTTGTATATAACGTTGTGCTATTTGAACATGTGTTCGACATTCAACTACTTGTTCTTCTTCTCGATTTACTTTTCCAGATGCTGTTTCAGCTAATATACGTAATTGTGTTAAACGATTTAAAACATTTTGTAAATCTTTTGGTCGAGAACGAAGAGATTCAAGATTTGTACCATCAGAATGTAAGATTGATAATGAATGTAAATGTTCACCAAGTTCAGTACGAGTACGCTTAAATCAATATTGAAAACTTTAATTAGATTGAAGAATTTCAAGTATTTAAAGTTTGTTTTTCAGAAGACATGATCATCAATGGTTGATCTTGAGGAGAAACACAATGATGAGCATTCTCTCGCGAGATAATAGAGCAAGAAAGTTATGAAGACCGGTTGCAGGCTTCAAAAAAATCTATATACTGAATGAATTGTTCTACGGTATGTGCACTGGTCGACAGATCAGATCATATCTCAATATGTGTTATGAACTGTACTTTGATAACCGGACAAAACTTTTTTCTTAAATCTGAAAGTATCCTTCTTAATAATAGAACAAAAGTTGTTTTATAAATCAGAGAGCGTTATCAACAACTCTTCAAATTCGAATTAGAACTAAACTTGGCGAACGCTAATAGGATAAGGACAGCAAACTAATTTCATAGGATGATTTTTTTATTGCCTTCGATTCAGAACTCTGTAGTATATTTTAGTTGATCATAGATTTCATATCTCATGAACTGCATTCTTCAGAGTCATTTGAACGAGTAGCAAACTAAGTAGAATGACTTCGATTTTTTTCAAATGAATTCAAATGATTTTATTGAATTCATATGATTTGAAAACTGAAGTTTTTTAATAATATCTGTTCGAAACTATCTAAAATGTTGAATTTGATTGATATAAGTTATATTTTTTACCTCTAAAATTTGTTGTTTTTCTTCAAGTGCTCGATCTCCAAACATTTTTGCATCAAACATTGAACCAATTTCTCTAAATAATGTTTCTAAACGTTTTAATTCATCATTAAAATGTGTCCATTTATTATTATCATAAATTAAATTTTGTAAAACTTCATCAATGATTCGTAATTTTTCTGTTAAATCTTCAATCATATTATCATAATCAAATTTAAGTTTTTGTAAATTTTCATAGGGTAATAAATTATTTGTTGAAATTGTTTGAAGATATTGAGCATTTTCATCAAGAATTAATTTTAAATCAACATATGATGTTCGAAGATACTATAATGATATAATAAAGAAAAAGAAAGATATAAAAGAGAAAATTTTACTTTGCAATTATCAATTTCATGTTGAAATGATATTATTGAATTTTGATTTGATTTTAATTGCGTAAGTTCATTATTTAATCGTTCAGTTTGTTGTTGATAACGACGTTTATTTGCATCAAAACGTTCCCATAATTCGAGTAGATGCTAGAAAATAATAATATAGAAAAAAATTCGAAAATCTTTTTTTTTTGTTCTTCTTCTATTTACTTTAAATCTTTCTAAGAATTCTTGTGCTGATTGAACTTTTTCATTATATAATTTTTGTGTATTTTGTATATCTTGTTGAACATATTTTGGTACCATTGATTGTCTCATTAATTCATTACCTCGTGTAACAAGTTCATTAACTTGTTGAGAAAAATTTCCTAATACATCACATACTCTTATTTGACCTTGTACAGCTGTACGAACATCAGATAGATCACGAAAATTCATTGGTGCATTTGAAATATTGATTAATGATGTATTTAATTGTAGACTATTTTCATGTATCATTTTAGCAGGAATAACAACTGTACAACGTTGGGAAGCTTCATCAATAGAATTAAGTAATTGTCGATAACGTGCAAGAAGTCCATCGAGACGTTGACGATAACGAGCAGGATCATCAGTTGCTCGTTCTTCAATTAATTCATCTAAGAGTGTAGATAAAGTTTTAACATCGTAAGATATTGTATCGATTTGTTGAACATCACTCTGAAATAAATAGAAATGGACTACATTGGTAATTAAAATATAGTTAAAAAGTTATTTACAATCGATTAAGGAATCTAAAATCCAGGTCTCTTCACTAGAGTTATGTTTTTTTTTGTTGTTGTTGAGAGTGATGTGACAATATAAGATCACGAAATCAGACATTGAATCGATTTTAGTTTTAGAAAAGAAAACTCAATAGTCTAGGAAATGAATATTAGCCTTTCGATTGTATTATGATTCATATCTAGTCTATAGTGGCATGAATAATTATGCAAATGTTACTGCTGATATAAACATAGGTTCTCTATATAATAAAAGCTGTTGACACAATCGCTGCGACTTCCAGAGTACTAATATGTACCTAATAAAAGATATTATGCTTAATATGCTATAGTGAGTTCGGAAAGGGAGTAATGAAAATGTATCTTAAATTCAATCTTCTTTTATAACACTCTTATAGATGGCTTTAGTTCCGTGACTAATTCTGTCATAGACTGCGATGTGTTCAAGGGCTTTGCTAAAATACTTATCAGAACCTATGGGAAAGATTCAGACTTCTGTCTCTATAATTCAATATCTTCTTCTAGATCGTGTTTCACAAAAGTAAAATCATTTTTCCTATTATCGAAAGCTCTCAATTAACCCTTTCGCAGCGATATAAATATTGCTTTTTTATAATTTATGAGAGGTTTCATCTTCGTATCTGTGATGACTGTAATAATTAAGAACAACTTTCATCAACGTTTCTCTGATGAATAAGAACTATGAATATTCTTTTATCAGTAAAAGAAAGAATCAACTCTTTTGGACAAAGCATGACAGAGATATTCAATTTTTTTCTGTGGTCAATCAGCTTTTGGAGTACCTTATAATATGATCCATCGGTGAATCACATCGCCGTGAAAGGGTTAAGCACTTCTTTTTTTCCCATGTAACACAAACATTGTTTAATCTATCACTTGACAACGACTCTAAGTTAAAAAAATGAAACTTTTTTGGTCAATACCATTTTATACAACTGATTAAAAAATTAAAAAAAACATAATTTCTCTTGTTGTTCTAGATGGTATTACGACACTGGAACTTCTGAGAGTAATCTTCGAGATTATTTAGTGTTACCAAACGAAAAATTATCTTTATAACTACGTTAATTCTATGTGAAACACCCCAAAATGGCGAACATTTCAAGATTTCGTATATCGAAAATTGTTTCTTACAGCAAATAATCCCGCTATTCGGAATTAGCATGTAAAAGAAAAAGGAACACTGCAAACTCTATGTTTCATTGCAAAATATCTCATATTAAAATTTAATTTTTACCTTTCCTCAACTTTTTATCTTGTGTGACTCTCAACAAGTAAAATTTTATTGGAAGTTCTTTCTAATGAAATACAAAAATTTTCAGTGTATTGTTGAATGTTGATTCTGAAAATCTATATAAAACTGTTGTTTATGAAATTTACAAACCTTAAATTTATTAACAATTAATTTATATTCATCAAATGAAACTTCCATATTCAATGTATCATTCATTGATCGTTCAATAGTTGTCATCCATGTTTCAACAAGATGAAATCTAAATTAAATATTTTTATTTTATGATTTATTCTCAAAAAAACAAACAAACAAACAAACTAACTTTTCATCAAATTCTTGCCATTTTTTTGGTATTGTTTGAAGTTTTCTTCTAACATTATCAATTTTAGCTTGCATATGTGTCCAATAATCATTTAATTTTGTTGTACGTTGATCAATATGTTCATTTTCATAATTATTATTAATATTATCTGTTTCTTTTGAACGTATATCATTAGCAAATAAATATAAATTTTTCATATGTGTTTCAATAGTTGGTTGAAAATTATTTAATTGAAAACGTTCATTATGACGTCGTAAAATTAATGCTATATCATATTGTTTTTCTAATTGTTGAAGTTCATCATTAAGTTCATCTTCAGCTTGTTTTAATTCTTTAACAACAATATTTTCAATACGTTCATATTGTAAACGTAATAAACGTATTGGTGCATAACATATAATTGTATTCCATTTTGATTCAAGTGTATCCATAAGATATTGAATTTCTTTTTGTTCAATTTGTTCACGTATATGTAAAAGTTCACGACCAGATTTAATAAAACCATGAAGAATTTCATCATCAATTATTTGAAAAAAATTCTTATGTTTTTGTATAAGATAAACATAATCATCATGTTTTTCTCGAACAATATTTTGTGCTTGATTAATCCATTCTTCAAGATATTTTAAACGTTGATGAAAATCTTTCCATAATTGTGAATGTAAAGTAAATTCTTTTTCCCAATAAGATATTTGTTGACAAATTTGCTATGAAATTTAAAAAAAAAAGAAAAAAGAAAAATAGTTTTCTTTTATGAAAGAAACAAAAAATATATATATACTTCAAATATATCGATTAATTGTTTATATTGTTCATCAATTGGAGTAAAATTTAATGGAATTGAATTTTCATTAGATTTTTTTATTGTAACTATTAATTTAGCTTTACTTTCAAGTAATGATTTATAATAACCAATATCAGCAAAGAAATTCTGAGAAAAAAAAACAACATCAGATTAAAATATATCAATATATTAATTAGATTATTTACTCGATGTTGTTCAAGAAAATCTTCAATACGTTTAACAGGTACTTGAATTGAATATCGACTAATTAATTGATTAGCTTCATTAAACCATTGTTGACATTTTTGTAAACCATCATCAAATTTTTGTAAATGTCCAAGCATAATTTTATTACGTTTTAATATTATTGGTATATATTCTTTTACATGATGTAATTTATCAAAACATATTTGTAATAGAGAATTCATTTCAGTTGATGCATTTACTTCACCACTTTCACGTGCTATTGTTTGACTTAATTTTGAAAGTATTTGAATTGTTTGATTAAACATATCTAATTCAGCTTGAGCATCCTTTGAAGAAGAAAAAACAAACAAAATAATGATTGTACATATATTATTATTATATTTCTTACATAAAGACGATTTTCTTGTTCTCGAAGTGCTTTTATTGTACATGGTAAATGTTCTTGCATTTCTCGATCAATTTTATCTAATGTATCTAATAATTTTGCACGACCAGCATAAAATTCATCACGTTTTTTTTTTATTGATTCATTTTGTTTAAATTGTTGAACAGATTCAACTATTTCTTTCCATCGACGATTTATAAATAATAATTTATTATGTAAAACTGTTGTAAATTCATCATCACATACAGCTATTAAACGTTCAATAGCTAAACGTAATTTTTCATGAATTTGAGACCAATGTTCCATATTGACAAAAAAATTCTATTTATAAATAAAGAGCATAAAAAGATAATTACATAGCATGGCTTCGAATATGTTTTCGATCAAGTTTTTTCCTTTTTTTTTACTGTAAACGTTGAGATGAATATCAAATATTGATTTGAGTAGTAGTAGAGCAAACATTTCTTAACAAAATGAAGCCTCATTCAGCTCTCTATGAACTTTTGTTAGGTACAAAGAAACCTCTTCAGATTTTATATCGCTTTCCGACTAAGATGGTGTTCGTTTGAAGAGTACTAGAGACTGATAAAAAAAGCCTACAATACTCTTGTTTTCTAAGCTTTCATTCTCGAAATTCTACTAGGTTTCCCTCAAGTCACTTGAAAAATCAACTTTCGAATTCCAACTTCAACCGTTGGAACAATAAAGTTGTTAATGAGATTAGTTGAATGTGCAACTAATATTTTCTTTCTGGAGTTGTAGATATACGAACAAAATTTACATTTACATATGAGAGAATTTCGAATATTGAATATGTTAGAATAGAAGATGCTAAAGAAGTTATAACTCCCCCAATGAATTGGTATCATAGAGAAACTTGTTTATGCAAAGTTCGAAGTGGAAACTCGAAAATCGATTTTTCAGCTCACCTGAGGCGACTATAGATTTTTATTAAAAAATAAGGTAAAATTTCAATATCTTAGAAACGAACGCTCGCAAAATCAAACAATTGTAGAGTTTTGTATGTATCATTAGTACTTATTGAAGGAACATTGTCTTGACCGAAAAGCGATTTGATATCTAGAGAGATCTTATTAGTGACCGAAAATCGTACACAGCTGAAAGATGTTGCATTTTGTTGTATCATTCTAAACCTCTGTCACAAGAATAAAAAGTGATGATCTTCTATTCTTGAGCATTGTAATTAATTTAAACTAAGAATGAATCAAATCTCACTTAAAAATTCATATCAGAGAATATTTTCAATAGAATCCAACTATTTTCAGCAATCCTACCCTTCGGAACATACTAATCATTTTTATTTTTCGCAAAGTTCTTGATAAAAATAAAATTTTTTATTCAAATTATTATTTGAATTCTTTTTAACATTGACAGTAACGAAAAAAAATTGAAAATAAATCTAGTTGAATAATTTTGGATATCACTATACCCTCTTGAAGGGTTATTTAATTTTTAGTATTACTTTTTAACTACTCATTATAAAAGATATCTGCTTACGATAACCTTTATTCATGTATTATAATAGCATAAAAGCAAATAGATTTATTTAATATTAATCTACAAATAGTATAAAGTTTCAAGCAAACAGTTCGGCAGAACTACAGTATATAGATAACTTTTGTTTTTTTTTTTTTTTATTTCCCAACTAATTTCTTTATAGATAATATTAATCAAAGCACTATAAGACATTACCTGCTAGCTGAAATAATTCGAATAGTAAGAGATTTATGAAATTTTAGATTTTATATGACGACATAATGTGCTTCAACGTTTTTCAATTCTTAATCAACTACTCATCTTTCTTCTTCATATTAAGTATCAAGAAAAAAAAAGTCGTTCTATTTGATCACATGTTTCTTTTTTGTAAGTACTTTAATATGTTCATTGAATTTTCGCAAATTAATATGTATTTCTTTGTTCTATATCAATTCTTTTAGCTATACTTTGAAACAAGCTTTTTTTCTTCATGATTGTAGAATAATATCTTGTTTTTCAAAATCGTAATCATACGGAAAATTTTTATTCAATTTATCACTTTTGACTTGTCAATTAACAAAACGTTGAGTTTTATTATTATAATAAGATGAATCATTTTAAGAACAACTTATATAAAATCAAAGACATAATCATAACATTAGTTTCAAAAAAAAAAATAACAACCGTAAAAAAAAAGATGCTTCATTTCTTTCTCATTTGTTTCTTATTTGAAACCTTACATAGCAAAATATGAATTCTTATAAGAACAATTTATTGATCTATTTTATTTCAAGGATAAACTCATATTTTATACTTACAAGTTTTTCTTCTGATGATCGTCGAAGAATATGTTCACCTTCACTGAACCATTTTTCTAATGAATCATATAAATTATGATAAATTTTCCAATTATTTATTGTTTCTTGTAACATATTTTCTTTTGCTTTAAGATCAATATTAAAATTTTTCATTGTTTTACGAATATTTTCACAATATGCATTAAATTCTTTTGATATATGATCATCTTTTCAAAAAAAAAAAAAGAAAAAAAACTAATACTATAAAATATGTTCAATAAATTAAAAATAATGCAAAACCTTTCTTTCCTAATTGACTATAATGTTGTGCTCTACGATTTAATTCTGGTAATAAACTTTCAATATTAATATGAAGTTTTTCATCATAAATTTTTCTCTGAAATTAAAAGATTGTTTTCTTTTTTATCTATTATCAAAGTTTGATTATTTTTCTTTATATACTTGATATTCATTATATAATTTTTCTGTTTGATTAATATCTCCTTGTTTTTTATTTAATTCCATAATAAAAAATTCTAATTGTACAAATAATTTTTGTACTTTCCAACGTATTTCTTCAAACTCTAAATAACGACCACGTTCTTCACTAGCATTCATTATTATATCAAGACGTTCATTTAAATTTGTTAAATGTTCAAGTGAAATTTGTTTATTAATTATTGATGAATCACGTTTTACACGTTGAAATGTTTTTAACATAACTTCTTTATCAGTAAATATCGCCTAAAAAAATAACAGTAATAAGAGGTCCAATAGGATAAGATGATATCCTTCATTTGAAAAGACATTTACAGCGTTTTGTAGAGCAAATCATGTTGTATCGAATGATATATAGAAAATTGTTTTTTTTTCTGCAGGTTTTAATATTCTGAGAAGCTATATACTAGTTAAAGGATATTATAACGATTGTTGGTGATATAAACAAATATTAGGACTGAGTATGTCTCGAAACGATTCTATATGAAAATTTTGTTCAAAATTACTTCAATAGACTTTTATCAATCGTGTATATCTCATAATAGCTTTCTTCATACCTAAAATCTTAGCATATTGACTAACTTGTGTTTTTAACTTTTATGATGATTTAAATTCATACTAATGAATTGTTGTGCGTCATAGTTCAATCGATCAATCAATGCCTAAAAAGACCAAGTATTCGATCCCATTTATCATACCTTACCATTTGATATATGTTAATCTTTCGATAATAGCAATAAAGCTTTTCGCTTTCAGTTCATAGAGATTAGTCGGGTATAATTAAAGTATGGTAGTCTATTAAATTCTCTATATGTTTGGCCTCTTATTAGAATTATAAATTTTGTATATACCTGTATGATCTCTCCAGGGATCTGAAAGTGAAAATGTTTTTTTGTCTTTTTCAAAAGATTTCTATAAATGTTACATGGTAGGATGTGATGAATTTATCATTCATAGATAGAAACATGTCCACTCAAGAAATAATTATTACAAACCTCATATACTTTGCTGCTATTAGGAATCGAAATATTGACCTTTTTTAAGGCAGTGATTGCCCAATTAACACCATAAAAGCCAAGTTATAGAAATTAATCAAAACACTAAGTTTCTGCATACGACGAAAGCTATTATCAGATATATACGATTGAAGACGAGACAAAAATTTTTTGAAATAACTTTAAACGAAATTTCATACAAGTTTATTTCAAGACAGACTCAGTCATATCACGCATGATTGCTATAATATCGCTTAATTGATATATGGCTTTTTAGAACATTAAAACTTGATGAAAAAGCATCTTCTGATATACGATTTGGTGCAGAACGAGCTACTCTACATAACGATATCGGTGACTTTTTAAATGAAACGTGATTATTTTATTCGATAGTGTCGTGTTTTCTTTTTTGGTAAACAATAAAATATTTACAGCATGTTCTTCATTGAGTTGATTGAAACGTTGAATATTTTCTTCTGGTGATGATTTTAATCGATCGAAATTAATTCCCCTTGATAAGACTTCTTCAGCTGTATTTATCCAATCAGCTACTTGTCCTAATTCACCTGGAAGATTTGTATCTAATTTAAATCTCCATCGATTCATTCTTTATATATATATATATAAATAAAGTAAGAGAATTTTTTGAAAAAACAATGTATATAAGTTTTATTTTCTTTTTACCTGAGTGTAATATCATCAAAGAAATCTTTTAATTCTTTTAATTTTTCACCGGGAAAATTTGGAGATTTGGATTCTTTACGTTCGAATGCTTTCCATTGCTTTTGCTTTTCAATAAATTCTCTTAGTTGTTTTACATACTCCTGTATAAATGTAAGAAGACATATATGATTTTTTTCGTTCTTTTAAATGTTTCTAAAATTTTGCTAGTTGTTTAACAACTTTATTTTTTCTTTTACTACAGCTTCACACATTCTCTCTCTCTGTGTCTCGCTCGATTAATGAACCTAAAGAGCAAACATAAAATAAATAGTTACTTTATATTCAGCTTGAATGTCTTGGATGGGTGCTTCAATAACGAGTGTTAAACGTTGTCGAATATCTGAAACCCATCGAAGAAGTTCTCCATGTTCTTTATTTATTGATCCAAATGGCTAATTAATCAAACAAAGAAACAAACAGTTACAAAGATGAATAAATACACAAACATACTAAATCAGGAAATCGACGAGAAAATTGAGCAACATATGTCATGATAGATTTTTCGTCTGGTTTAACTACATCAACATCTATGAATGAAGAAAAACGAAAAGTAAGTGTATTCTATTTACTCTATTATGTTCAATATGAACTTCTCGCGTTTCTTAACCGTTTTAGTCCACTTGACATTACTTTTTAGGCTTACGAGGAAACTCTCCAAGTGTTAATCGTCAATCCAGCTCATATTTTGCCAATAAGTAAGACTCGATGAGACTAGCAGAAACCTGAAAAGATTCATCCTCATACGCTGTCCTTCTGGAGTTATGACAGTTTTACTGGTTTTTCGACCTCTGGCAATGGTATTTATAGGGAAGTCTAACAATGGAATTTTGATCTAAAATTTTGTTCATAAATAGGTCTCATGGTTACTAGAATATCCTAAAAGTTTCAGGTAAAATGAACATCTCTTTCTCAAGATATTGGGTTTCCAAGAAGCTCGATTTTTGGACCTTTGCCTTTGAAATATGATTGTTTCTTGAACATTCAATATTTCGAGAAAGAAACGTTCATTTTAGCTGAAACTTTTAGGATATTCTAGTGATCATGAGACCTGTTTATGGACAATATTTTATTTTTGGACTTCCCTATAAATACCATTGCCAGAGATCGAAAAGCCAGTGGAACGATCATAACTCAAGAATGATAGCGTATGGGGACGAATTTGTCCAGGCTTCTGCTAGTCTGATCGAGTCTTAATTATAGGCAAAATATGAGCTCGATCGACGATTAACACTTGGAGAGGTTCTCTCGTTACTTAATCAGTTTTGTACGGAGACAAGCCTTAACGGAAATAATGTATTATGAAAGCTTCAAGTCAAAATTCAAAAATAAGTCTTTTTCTAGTGTTTCTGAGAGGAATCATTGCATTCATTTAAAAAATACAGTAAAAACTCTCTAATGTGCGTATCATCAGGTTCAGCTAAAAATGCTCACTTTACGGAATTGATCATAATTGGAAGGTGTTTAGTTTCTTTTATTGCGACCTATAAGTATTCAGTTGTAATCGCTCTTTGATTTCACAAGATGATCTTTTTCTCTTTCAAACAATTAATCAATTCAACTTTGTTCATCAGAAAGAAATCAACTCGTGTTCACAGGATTTTATGTTACTAGCTGTTAACATAAAGACAATGAAGACTTAAACACAGCACTATTGCAATTTTTTAATATTGCTTTTTTTTAACATGTACAGTTAGCTCATTCAATGATTATTTATCATAATGTTATGTTGCAAAGTTGCCATAAATCATATAGGATATAGCTTATTTTTTCTAATTCATATTGGTTAAGGAATTGGAATTACTTTTCTCTTGTCTTTTTTGTATAGTTCAAACAATGATCCTGTAGTGTTCAATGAAACATATTTTAATGATTATCGTTTCTTTCCATCTAATATAATTTATTAAAAAATATTTCTCCTATCAAGCTAATATAACAAAGAGAAAAACTCGTAATGGAATGGATGTTCCATTGTTCTTTAAGAAAAAATTGCAATGTACTTTTTTTTAACTTTAAATAAAAATCTTCTGACTTTTATTTTTTACACTAAATTTATTGATTCATGAAATGTGAATTTTTTATGTTTAAAAAATTTCCATTTTTTTTTTGGGCTCAGAAAAACTTGAAGAAATAGTATATATTTATGATTATATGATATGCATGATTATATATGTTTTATTCCAAACTTCAAAAAGTTAAATAAGTTTACTCAATATCTATTGATTTGTCTAACAAACCTTCAGCATCAATTAAACGTGGTACACCAAGTTGTTGTTCAGCAACAGTAAATGCATTTTCTAATCTTTCACGAACATCCATTCGTGTAACACGACGTAAATCAACTAAATCTGGTCTAATTGCATGAATTAATGCATTAAAAGCAAGACCATCACGCCAACTCGATGTAAAATCTCGCACATCCAAACCATCAATTTGTCTAATAAAATAGAAAAAAAAACAACAACAAATCTTATCTAGATCTTTCTTTTTATATAATCGAACAAGCCAATGAATTTCAAAAGAAAATCAATGAGAAAAAAAAATACTACATGCTCATGCAAAACTCACCTAAGCGATTCAGATGATGAATAATATCTAAATTATTATTTGTTTTAATCAAGAGAAATATTTAGAAAAATAAAAAATGAAATTCAAATAACATACCCTGATGTTTTCTTTCGAACCCATTCAAGTAAAGCTTCTTTTGCTTTACTACGATTATCTTTTGAACTTTCATCAAACATACTTGAATCTTCAATCTATATAAAAGAAATAAATATATACATGTTTATCAGTTAAATAGTCTTCAAAAATAAAACAAAACGATAGTAATATTCCAATTGTAGATTGAATTTTATTTGAAAATTTTTTTAATTATGAAATTTATAGATTTCTATTCAGATTTGGAACAATAAATATGCTACGTTGAAATGACTCTTTTAATCTATTACTATTGATTGTATGTAGAAAAAAATGTACTAATTTCAATGAAAACTATCAAAAAAATAAATTTGTTGAACTATCATTTATTTAAAAATTTGTCATAAGAATCATGTAGAAGATACATGTATATATTTTTCATTGAATTGTAAGAGATATATTCAAAAAACATAAGATAAAGATTATTTCTACTTTTTTAAGTATGTCTAGGATATATTTAATAGTTGATTTGAATATAGGAAAAATCTTTCGAAAGCAATACTTTGAAGGTCTTTCATCATATGTCAACAAAAAAATAAATAAACTTCTATTTGTTTTTTACCGATTTGTCTCTGTATGTTAATCTATTTTATTCATAATATAATCTTTCATATAATTAACCATCCTGATGTAATATTCGATTTTGTTTTACTTAACTAATTGATTATCAAATTTATAAGAATCTATTAGACTAAACTATATTTAATCTTTTGTTTTTCAAATAAATCTAACAAAAAAACAAAATATTTATACATGTAGGATTTCTCTCGTTTGTAACAAATTTAATGAGAAATGTTAAGTATAGTTCTGAAATGAAATATGTTTTTTTTTTCAATAATTTAATTAATATCATTACGTGATTCGGAATAATACATGATTTTCTTTTCAGAATTTTCGTTTTCTATTTCTTTCTATCATAAAAATAAAACATATCTATGACTTCTCAACATGTGAAGTGATGTTAAATACTTCTGTTCTTCGAATAAGTTCAATCTTGTATTCATTGTAATATGATACGTTAGATCTATTGAATATAAGAAATTTTATTCTATAAATTTATTTATTTAGTAGGCTTTAATTTCAATTAAGAATATGTTTATAAAACAAACATTCTTATCAAATATCTAAGGTTAAATCATGAAATACAAATAAAAATTTGTCTAAAAATTTTTTTTCTATACCTGATAACAAAGAATTAACATCCATATTAAACCCAAAATCATCATTGGTTTTCCATCGACAATATCAATAGGACGTATATTGACTAGTTTGATCTTTCAAAGATTATTCAATGAATATTTATATCTAGTTTATTTTTATATTTATTACCTTTCGACTTTCAAGATATTTCAATGCATTGTCTACATTACTAAGACAATGAGCACGTTTTTTACCACGTTCGATTGGCTAAAATAACAAAAAATATACATATGTATTATCATAAAATATTTTCTCATTTAAATTACTAACCAATGTTTGTCCTGAAAGAACTTCAAGTAGAGCAACAAGTTTTGTTCCATCTCGAAAATCTTCAAATAAATCATTGATATAGTATGGTGGTTCATGTAATGATAAATAAATATTAACCCATTTTGTAAATGTTTTTTTTTGTACACGTTCTTGTTCATCTAATTGAATAAAATAAATATAAGTAAAGAAATTCTTTTTTTTTTGTTGTTGTTTATAACCTGTTTGAAATGAAGTCGAAATAATACTCCCACTAAGGGATGTTTGTCTATTAAGACAATGACATGATCCTGGCTGATTACAACAGGGAGCTTTTATTTTTTTCTTGATCATTATTTTTAAACAAATGCAAAAAAAAACGAAAAACTAGAACTAAACGATTACAAGGTTTTTCTTTTTTTTGCTTTGTTTTAAAATGAACAGATGCGCGCGTCTGTTGATCATATCTCTAATCAACCACAAACGTTTGTGTCTTCTTTTTTTTTTTTTTTTTACTTTTCCTAACTACAGAGAAGGAAGAGAGAAGAAAGAGAAAACACATTTGATATATCTTACTTTGAAGTGTACTGATACTTTCTTCCAATTGACTACGAGTAGAAATTGATCGAGGACTAATAACAGTTGTATTTTGAATAATAGTAGTTACACGAGAAGCAGTTGGTGATGAAATTACTCGAGTTGGACTAGTCATTTTTTAATGATTTATCAATCTTTAGAAACATATAGAATAAGAAGAATTTGTAAAAAAAAAAAAAAAAGGGAAACTTTAATCAAAAATATATTTCAAATAAATATATAACATTAGTATGAAAAAAAAAAAAGAACAATGGACGAAGAAGAAGGAAAAAAACTCTTGTTTAATCACATTTTTTTTGTTTGCTATTAAAATTCTGATTCAAGGTGTATCAATGAAAAATGAACAAATTTTTTTTTGTCTTTCTTTCTGTTGTCTTTCTTTTTTTTTTCAATATAAAAGTAATTGAAGAAAAAATCGAAAAATTGACTTTCGAAATAGATGCAATCGTGCATAGTAAGATCAAAACAATACGTTCATAATTAGGCTTCTTCTTAAGACAAGATGAAATCTATAATATATATATATGCAAAAGAAGAATATGAAGAAACGAATAGAGACAGAAGATCAACATTGAACTTTCTATTTTCTTTCTTGTATTTCACTCTTCCTTGTCATTGATTCTTACATACTTCGTTCACAATCAAAATTTTCAATGTCATACAAGCATGATGATTCAATTCTTATTTAGGTTTCAACAAATATAAAATGTACATTTCTTTTTATTCTCAGTCACAAACTAATCTATTTTTCATCGCATAATGAAAAATTAAATAATTTAATTTACTTGTCTCGTTGAAATAAAAAAAAAACCAATTCGTTTCAATTTCATTCTATCGTCAACCACAAAAGGTAAAACACTTGATAGTTCAAGTGTTATGCATGTGGTTTTTTTTTTGATGTTGTATCTCTCGTTCTCTCATTTATACACATAATAATGAATAAAAAAAGAAAATGAGAATTAAAGTTAAAAGCATACATATCAATATTTTTTTCAGTTTTGTATAAATATGAGTATAAAAAAAAAAAGAAGAGAATTGATTATTAATTTTTTACATACTTGAATTAAATTTTTTTTTTTCTTTTTGAGATTTGCTTTAATATAAAATAAATAGACATGATATATTTAAAAATGAAATGAAAACTATCAAATATCATTTTAACCTTGAAAATAATAAAAATTTTATTTCAAAATTATTTAAAAAGAAAAAAAAAACTAGAGACTTTCATTCGTTGTAGTCATAAAATAAATTAATCATGATTTAAAGTATAGTGCTTGTATAATTTATAGTAACAAATGGTATATATTGACAAGAGGAACTCTTGAAATAATGTCTCGCCATCATTGAACAATTGTACTAATGTTCATAAACACATGAACAATAACAGAGAAACTTTGATGACGTGTTCAATAAAAAAAAAAAAAAAAGAAAAAACGAATGTACTCTGAAGAATTATTATGCATATCTTGAACATATGACAGATTTATTGTTTCGATATAAATATGATTTACTTCTGATACAAATCTAAAAAGTATACATATTAAAATTATCAAACAAAAGTAAGAAAAAAGAAGACTTTGACAATATTATTTTGTGTAATAAGAATTTTCAGTTACAGAAAATATTTTCTTCACCATTTCAGACTTTGAATCATTTGGAAATTTATTTGATAAAATGATATAAATCGGATTGAATTGAGATCATTTTAAAAAAAATGGTTTTTTGGAGTCAATATAGCAGTTATAAGAGTAAAATATTCAAGTTGTTTTACTCTGACGTAGTAATAACTTTACTCTTGATGTATTAAGTAATAAACAAGATTACATATTACTTTGTTGTTTTTATGGGAATGGTAAATTTCCATCAGGAGAAAATTCAATTTCTGCACATCATTATTTAATGAATGATACAAGCTAAAGAATACTGTCACGTGAATTCGCATTAAATATTTTTGAACTATAGCTGAGATTGATTTTCATACATTCAATTGAAGAGATATGACTTTTAGTCTGCCATTAGGCTGAACAAAGAAAATAGTTTTCATCTAAAAAGTACGTAGAAATGAAATATATATCTTTAGTGCTTGGTTGGGTTAGGAAGAATGTGCGTGAAGTTAAGAGTGTGAAATTAGGGTACGCGAGCAAAGATAAGAGTCACACTTACGCTAACACTCTTATACATATCCTACACCCATAATCCTAATATTCAATTTAATCAGTTAAGCATTTGAGAATAATTAACAGTAACAAGATGAATTTCTCAACTCAATCCAACCTCAGAAATATACTTGAAATTCCTTTCATAACTATTAAATTTGAATTTCTTCAAAATAGGAACTTACAATTTCATGTTGTCTTTTCATGTGATTCGAGCTGAAGAAAAACCCTCTGTAAATCATCGGTAGACCCTTTTGGTATAATGTGCGCGATACTAGCATCTGTCAGTAGTGACAAAAAAACCGACAGAAGTACGAATAAACTTGTGACATGATTCATAACTAAGTTTGAAAAGAAAATATCATCAGAAAGATAATCACATTAATAAATAGCACACAAAAGTTAATGAACGATTCCAATTAACTTCATTTATTATTAGAGTCATTGAAAATATATTTGACATCGAGCCGTCGTCGTTAATTATGAGATTAATATATTTCCATATTGACGATTTATTACAAAGTATTGAAATTTTTCTACGAAGATAATCATTGATTGATTTTCAAAATCAAAACTTGTTTCGATAGGTTGTTTAATCCCGAAAAGGATATTCGAAATTTGAAAGAAGATACTGATAGACTTGATATTGAAAACAAAATTGTTTTTCACAGTTTGAGTTGGAATTAGTTGTCAGAGTTAAGAATTGTTCATGGTGTTACTTGTCTAATTGATCTCCATTTTGGTTCTTAGCCGTATTGATACATGATTTAGATCATCGTATAGTTTTCTCTGATAGTAGAAGATATGGGTTTTCCTATCATGTTCAAGTGAATCAATATTTCAATGAGGATTTCTATTAGATTCTTTTTTTGATTATTAATAATTTAAAATGTTTCCAGGAAAATCATGATAATTTGCAAAGTTCAAAATTTTAAAAATGTAGATTAGAAAAAAAATTTCATAATTAATTAAACAATTAAAAGGTGGACTTCTATACTATTCTAGACATCACTGCTTCAGGCATTCTTACATTTACTATAAAAGAAAAGATTTAGATGACGACAATCATTTTTGAATAAGTGGCAATAAAAACTGCACTTTTACTCATCTCTAATAGAATCTAAAAAACTTTCTTTTTTGATTGAATTCTATTCGATATAAATTTTGAAAAAAAAGTCTAACAAAGTCTATCATTGATAAATTGGACATAGAAAAGAATGGGATGATTCATAGTGATAAAAAAAAAACGATATATTAAATAGATATCTGATGAGGCTAGAGTTGATTCTTTTTTCTTCTCTAACGTAAGTCATCTGAACTATAAAGGAATCAAGACTTTCTTGGATGTTTAAAAAAACAATCTTCAATTTCTCTTTCTTCGTTATATGAATTCTCGTGAAATTTG